TGTTTATTTACAATGTCGTTTTGTCTTTGGACAAGTATTTTATGGTGTGACATCTCCCCCCCACCCAAAAAACAAAACAAAACAAAACATGACTGAAAATGTGAAAAACAAAGCAGCAGTGGATATGTTAGGTGCATTTACCCCGCCTACTTGGTGACCAGTATTCATTTGACAACAGGTATTGCTATGATTGCTGTTTGTTTCTGTATTAGTCTGCCGGATAATGCAAAAACTTTTTCTATACTGCCAACGGTGCATTTTTACTGCGTCTACACAGTAACAAACCGACAGACATACAAGCCAAACCAAACATTGCTGTACTCTCCATGATTTTTCAGTTTTGTAAATGGAGTCACGGGTTGACACCTGCCCTGGAATATACTTGGTACATTTCCTTTTAAACCACGAAGTGAAAACTCTTATTTTCAATGTTATGATCAAATTAACAATAAATAGCTCAATATGATGGCACAATATCAGCGCTTTAGCAATTCTACCTTTTATGGGGGGCACTGTCTGCTTCACCTAGCTTGATGCCAATGCTAGCTTCATGCTTGTCTCATTCCACGAGGGAGGTTATATTTCTCGTGTAACCACTGGCAGGTAATTTCCAGTACCATGTAATGTTTTGGTAATGTTTGGTATCAGATTTCCTGGATGGTTTTGAGTGTTTTTATTATTATCACTACCAAAATAAATTAGCTACTGCGACTAGCTGGCAACCAGTTCAGGGTTTCCCTCGCCAACTGCCCGAAGATGGCCTGGATAGGCTCCAGCACGCCCGCGACCCGCGTGGGGATAAACGGATTCGAAAATGGATGGATGAAAAAGATAATTTTTCTGTTTTACCAAAAACCCAGCTCAGCTCGAACTATCTGAATGATCGCTAACAAATAGCTAGCATTAAAACCAGAGTCCAGATGTTTGTTGCCAGTGGGATTTCCAAATCTATTAATGGCATATTTATGTGAATGAAAATCAACCATCATTGAACAATGCACATCATTTCATCTTTGAAATTTTTTTTTTTAAGTGAAATAGCTCAAATGGCTCCCCAATGAACTTTCAACTCACTCTTCTCCATCCATTTAGAACTTGGATGAGAGGTGAAACATCCGAGACTAGTTGCCCTCAATTCAACCCTTTGTGGATCCGTGAGTAGAATTACAAAGAATCCTCACAGACATCGCAACATGTTGAAACGAGTCCCTGTCTCGGTATTATAACTGTGCCTTATGAATAAATTGCCCTGTAGTCGTGATTAGCTTTGTCACAAGCTCAATCACAAAACGTGTTTCCTTTCCAGCTGCCCCCGTTTCTCACTTCGTGCGTGGTTGCGTTTGCTCCTTTGTGTGAACTGAATGTTATCTAAAAGGTGCATCACACAGAGAGTAACACCGTGTTCCACTGGAGCACTTTATTTTTATTTACAACATAATGCTGTTAGTGTGCATCCAGCCTGTATCAACTAATCCATCAAGCTTTAACGATATTGTTTCGTTTGTTGCCCCCTGCTGCGTGAAGGACACGGAACAATTTTCTAATGTCACTTCATCAGCGAGTTGACCTCTGGCAATGAGCTTAATTGATAAATGGTTTTGAGTTTGCGGTTTGTTCTTTAGGAAACAGTAGTAGAGCACCAAAAAAACCCCCAAAAACACTGGTTTCTGACCAAAAAGCAGAGAAAGCAAGCATTTCTCAAAACATACATCAAGAAGGACAGTGATCCAAACTTTAAAACAAAACACCACGACTACTTTAGATAGCAAAAATAAAGTTAATTCCAGATACGCAACGAATCATAATCGACAAACAAAGACTAACCCCCACAATCTTTTTCTTCAACACAAAAGCTGTGCTGTTAGCAACTGTTAGGTGACCTCTGCCATCCACAAGGGTTTGTTAGTTATGACAGTCGGGTTTTTTTTTTTTTTAAAAACAAAATTGGTGTGGAGCCTGTTATGACCATGGGTAGCAATTTTTAAAAAATTATTCCCCCCCCCCCAACATCATAACTCCCACCTCGACCTCTAATTCGCTTTTTTTTGTTTCCAGATAGGTGAACAACTCTTCAATGACTTCATTGTTATGCAAGTCAGTCACTTGCCAGACACATTTCGGAGCAAAGGACTCACATGTGACCACTTTGGATTATTGATTGGTCTCTACTGGACAAGTAGAACTAACAAAGTGTTTCGCATATATTCGGTGAAATGTCCTCAACTGCGGTGGACTTTTCAACTTTGCAGGCTGACCATGACCTTAATGACGGAGAATCCACGTGCGCTTTTAAGCTGTAAGGCGACACAATGTGAGGTTCACGGAACGTTTCATTAACGGATGGCTTGTAAAGAGGAAAATGGCATTTTGTTCAGACGACAGGAGAGAGTCAGACATGGGCTTCTTGCTGCAGCGTTACATGCAGGTGTTCACATCCTCTCATGACACAACACCGTGTGCATTGCTGTGAGCACATGTCGAGATGACCCTGATGGTGGATGTGTAAAAAACGACTACAACGACGGGTTTGGTCGCTGTTCTAAATCTGAGAACACAGCACTATTCAATATTCGGAGGCATTGAGTTCAATTTAGTAGATTATTGGACTATGCATTGAGTGGCATCCAGTGGCCGACTGGTTAGCATCTTCAGGCTTCTGCTGAAAAGCCACAAAAGTGAAAACCTGTATTATGACAGCCAAAATGGTTCTTTGCTCGGCACTTTAACCCTTTCAGGGACGGTGGTAATTACAGTGGACAGGGTGCATGAAAGGGTTAAATGATGGCTGACTTGTTACACAAATAGAAATGTGATTGGTCAAATCTGAAGACAGCCATGTTACACGAAAAAGAGGTTGTGCACTCGTGGGCCACCATATTATTTCGTTTCTTTATTTATCACTCGATTAAAAAAAAAATCAGCTGAGTCGTGTAGATTGTAGAAGGGTTGAAATCATTTGCATTTCTTAGTCTGGCATTTGAAAAGGGCTGCGTCGACTCATTTTTTTTTTAATCCCATTGTAAATGGTCTGACATCACTACAAAGAAAGTCTCTTCCCTACCTAACGGTATAAATACATTGTAGTTTGTTTTCACCATTTAGGGTTTTATGTATTATATTTCGACCATATTTTTTTAAACCTATTATAGTTCTACTTAATCGACTGAGACAAGAACCAGTTTCAGCCCTAACACCATTCTAACATCAATGTCATTTAAACATCTTTCATAACCTTTCCCGTGTACAGGAAAGCGCGATATTCCGAATCCAGCTAAAGCAGTGCGTATCAGTATATCAAAGAAAAACAGTCATAATTCATATTTTAAAGCCACTCCTCCGCTTGACTCAGCTTCCTCGAGTGACGTCCTCCGAGAGGGGAATTTCTGAATCCGATACACATTTGATATCTTATTCTCCTTGTGTTGCGCCGACGGAGCCCCGAGTGTTGCAAGTTTGAGCGGCCGATGAAGGGGGGAGCCCCTCGCCGCCAACATCCGCTGGGTCACTCCGCTTCTTTGATAATCTATAACCGCCGCTGTTTAGTACAGACGTAGCCACGCCTCAGAGGCCGGGCTGCTGACCGTCCCAGTGCATGTTGGGAGAGGCTTTTATTGCATACGCAAAAGCCTGCATTGCGGCTTTGAGCATGTTCCACACTAAAAGATCTGAACATGCGTTACAGGATTTGGAAAGTTTTTAGATTGAAGTGTCATGGTACAAACTGCTTGAGACTTAAAGGATTATGCTTGAAGTGAAAGGAATGAAAAAAACTGGGGCTGATTTTACTCATCTCACAAATCTCGATTCAGTGGGATGTTCTGTTTTGAGCGATAGGTGGTTTGATTTTTTTTTGGAACATGCCTAGATCATGTAACTTGTTTTCATCTCAGGTTTTGGGCGCATGTGATACTGCTTTGGCCGCAGTGTGCATGTCTGATATGTCTCCCTGTGGTCCAGGGAAAGCTCATGGAAAATAAGAAGGAACATTGCAGATAACAATTTGAAATTTTGATACGAATTTAGCAAGAATCACTCAAGTTGACATGCTTGAATTGCTGGGGGCCACCTAAAATGATGTGGTGGGGCCAGATCTGGTCCTCGGGCTATGAGTTTGACACCTGTCATCGACATTTTCATTATAGCGATAGTTCGTTTCAGTTCGCTTTATACATTGAATAAGTTGTTGGGTTTTTTTTTTCAGTTTGATAATCTTGGTTGGGTTCCTATTGTGTACCTTATCATAAAAGTAATTCTATTTGCACGGTATGGTAGTCATGTCTGTTGTTCCCAGAGACAGTATTCATCTTCTTATGAACGAAAATCCTTTGTGAGTCAGCGTGTCCTACATGCAAAAACACTGACAATATCACAGGTACAACCAAAGACACCTTTGCAGGGCATTAGAAATGAGTCATTGCAAACAAACAATATGCTCTCTCTCTCTCTCTCTCTCTCTCTCTCTCTCTCTCTCTCTCTCTCTCGCTCTCTCGCTTTTCGTGTCCTACTGTTCAAAAGCAGCCTCCTGGAGTTTACACTGCTGTCTGTGTCATGAGTCGCCGGAGCAAACAGAGGACAGCTGCTTGCAGTCAGAGTTTCTCCCCCTAGGGGGCACTGTTGCTTCTCATGAAACCAACCAGTTGCGGCGCTCTCCCATAATGATACTTATGATTCATCCAATTATGAGAGTGTTATTTTTTTTCAACGGAGTCATTCTCTTCTGTTTAAGAAATAGTTTTGTAATTTATGATGTTGTCTAAAATAATCGGTATTGTGCTTAAATGGCAGATTGGAGTTAAATCAACAACATCGAGTGTTTTGTGTCTGGATTTAGACAACGCGATTAAGATTGTTCTAATGTCCCAACAATTGCCCCAAGGAATCAATAGCATATGTGCTTTTTGCGCACGTCATCAATACGCATTTCAATAGATTTTGAGCCTCTTTTAAATGTAATTTTAACATTTAAATGATTAATATTTTTCATTTTGATATCAGGCGCGAATTAAACGGCCCAATGACGTGACTCTCCAGTTTGCCAATCCGAGCCTGGAATGCGTTCAAGCCTCCAGTTTGTGCAACCCGCACTCTCCGATCAGCGCCACAGGGTGCAGGGAGGATCCAAACCCAACGGATCGGTGCACGAATCATTTGTTCCTCGCTTGGAAAGTTGACGGACTCTTCCCCCGCCACTCCGCAACGTCCTGCGTTGTTTTGCCACACTCTTGTGCCTCGGAGCGTGCGGGGATGACCTCTTTTTTTGGGACAATCGTTGAAGCCTTTGTTTTTGTGTGAGTGTACAAACTTTAAGCGGGTTTAATTTGACTGCAAGTGACAAGAGCGAGTCGACGCACACAATCAACGCCGGAAGGTAAATAGCAAGATAACGCCGTGCGTTTTTACGCACAACCAAAAAAGCACCCAAACCTTGTTTTATCTTCCTTAGCTACTTAGCTCTCTACATAACTTAAACATCAGTTGAATAACTAATAATCTATGTGATTCAACAAGCGTATTGAGTGCATGCGTGTGTGTGTTTTCAGGTGGCGGAGGACGCCGAATGTCATTTCGGTTTGGGTGACATGACACAGCCAGTTGAAGATCTGCTCACTTTCAAATGGGAGACCAGTTCCGGGAGAGGATAAATTGCGTGCCAAGTAGTGAGGCTTTGGTGCTTTTCGGAGCGATCCTGCGGCTTTTCTCGAATCAAAGACGATAACAAGAGACATGGAGCCGCTTCGGTGCGTGGGACTCGCAGCACTTTTGTGCACAGGTAAGAAAGCTCACCGAGATGCCACATACATGGAACACTTGTGTCACGTGCACATCACTCGGTGTGATATAAGCAATACGGGGAGACGATACGTAAAATATATGGCCCCGTCATAAGGAATAGTGCATGTGATGTAACTTTTATGAAGTCGTTTGAGTCGGCGGGGGAACAATCATGAAATGCAAATGATTCCCTCTCAGCCAAGCGGACATAGATAATTTATGAGCCTCGTAATTAGCTGTAAGCTGTTGTGGCAGAATGCAAAATGACTTGTAATATTAACATGAATGCGGCGTGACAGTTGCCTGGAGTGTGTGTGTGTGAGTGTGTGTGTGTGTGTGTGTGTGTGTGTGTGTGTGTGTGTGTGTGTGTGTGTGTTCCTGCGCGACTGTGAGAAATGTGATGCAGGCTGCTGCAGTTCAGCAGGCTGCAACATAAAGCCAGACAGAGAAATAAGACATAAATATGGGTATACACAACACTCCTCTTTATGTTTTGGACTGTGCACCTGTTTTCATTTTTGAGGCTGTGTCGTTAATGCATGATTAGTGAAATATTTTGACGTTTGTGTAAGGTCAAAAGAAAATTCTTCCCCTGCTATCCAGATGAATGTGCATTTCCGGGCTGTGTTATGGTCTCCGTTCTTTCAAGGCGTTTTCGAAAGAGCCACAAGCACAATGCAAAGCAACCAAGGAGATTTCAGATTGAAGATAGTTCATTTACTTGACATGAAATTGCAGTGGAAATATTTGTTTGTGGGCAGCACGGTGGACCGGAGGTTGGCAAGTCTTGTCTCGTCGTTCACCACTTCCAGGTCAGCTGAATAGACAAAAGAACAAGCAATATAAAAACAAAACAAAAAAAAGGACGGATATTTGTTTTTTTCTTCTGGGCAACACCCTGGTGTGATTGCGCATGTGTTTTCTGGTCTTGTGCACACCCGTTATCGTGAAATGGATATGCAGTTTTTTTTGGCTTCTCAAAACGCATTTACAGACTTCACAGTTGTCAGTCCGATGGGCTGATGACACAGTTCCCGGAAGCCTCTAGCCCTGGCCTAGAACTAATCCAGCACACTTCAGCGTCCTGCTGCAGTGCAAATATTGTGTGCCTACTTTGTGCCAGCCTGATCCTCACAACTTTCTCCAACATGAGGGATGGAGCCTTTTTGAAGGCTGAGTGCAATAGATACAGACTGTGGCTGAACAATCTTGGCTGCAGGAGTACTGAACCTCTATGCTCCCAAGATGATGTACTGTCGATTGTAAAACTAATTGAACATAGATTTAGATGACAACAGACTATTAAATTTCATATAGTTGAAAAAAATTGCCCCTGTTCCGCTGAAAACAACCTGAAAGATGCTTGCCAGGCCAGTAGTTGGCGATGTTCTCTCACTCACACTAAAAATAAATGTGTTGCCCACTTTAGTCTTAATTTAAGAAAGACAAGATGAGACAAAAACAATCCCCCGTGGTAAAAATCGACCCGGCGAGGGTATTCAGGCAACACCTGACTAGTTTTCTTCAGTACGATAACAGGGGGGGCATTTACGTTTGATGGGTCGTTCTTGAATTAAAAGGCTTTAATGAGCCCCAATTAACACATTTTCAATGAGCCCCCAGTCAAATCAGCCTTGCAAAATGGAGCTTCACTGTGCTTTCTTTTATTGCATCGTACATTCAGGACTTTTTGTCTGTTCAGCTTTGTTGCTCGCTAATGTGCTTTGGTTGGATTCACGCTTGCAGTTCACTGCCCTGCCCTTCTTCGCGTTGAATGTTGATTTGTTTGATTTTCACTTGAGGTTATTAAGCATACATTTTTTTATTTTTCGTTAGGCTGGGGTGGATTTTGTGGCTCACATTTATTCCTGGCAGCTTCACATTGGTTAGCTGAGTGAGAGACTGACAAAAGAAGTGGAAAGCCCAAGATTTTAAATAGATGATCTTATGCCAAGATTTCCGCTGTGAAATGTCGTCTCTGGAGGTTAAAGTCTTCGGGGGAGGGGGGGATATTACTTGAACAACTCCTCAACCTGAAGAAGGGCGTTTTGCTTATAATTGAAGCTTGAAATATACCGGAAGCTGATTTTCCGAAATATTCTTGTATGGGGTAAAAAAAACAAAACAAAACCAAAAATCTATCCCCTCACTATTGGGGGCTTCTTAAAGGGGAAATGCGCAATCTTAATACCGCTTGCAATAACCCTCACGTCACTAACTTCCGTCCCCTGCTCCTCAAATGTCTGACCCAGAGCCACGCCCCTTCGCTAACGTTGGATGATCCTCAAATGCGGCCTAACTTCAACAAAATGGCGGCGTTAGCAGTACTAAGCTAGCAATAGCACTTTAAACAAGCTGACGTTAGCCGTGGCCATTGCGTTAGTAGCATAACTTATTCGTAATGGACTGTTGCTGTAACAGCAAATATTTGCAGTTTGACGTGAATATACAATCAATTAAAAAAAAAAAACATTTCTGAATCCTTGCACCTATGCTGTTTATTATCATTAGAGCGAGGTGGAGCCTATCCCAACGGACTCCGAGCGGTAGGTGGGGTACACCCTGGACTGGCCGCTAGCAAATTTGCTTAAATATAGTATCCCAATTTCGTATTTTCAGTGGATATATTTATCAGCCTCCCCGGGAGCTCACATCGAGGTAACCAAGGATTTTTTTTTTCTCGAGCAATTTTCCAACTCCAGTGCAAGTGCAGTACCATGCGGTGATGGATGATGGCTGGGCTGGCCTATGTGCAGCAACGTGTTGTACTCCAGCCTCGGGGGGTTGGGAGCAGTAAGAGCAAACACTGCACCAGTGATCCGTATGTCATCTTGGATGGCTCGTAACACAGAGGCAGGATTCGTTAACAAAAACTAAATGTACATTAGGAATGTGTTGACTTCAATTTTAGACACATAAAAAAATTGATAGAGCACTTTAAAAACAGCCACTGCTGCATACAGTGCCGAACATCAAATAAAAATCAGTCATATGAAAAGAGTCAGTTAACCTTAGCCAGCTACCACAGATTAAAAAAAAAAGCCCTTTTTAAAATGTTACATTTAATTGAAAAAACTAACCATACCTATTCAGATCAGAACTGCTGTACAGCGTAATATCTGCACCCCCCCCACCCCCACTGTAACAGACACACTTCCTATTACATGAAGTCATTTGAAGCCGATAGAAATATTGATTAGTGCGACCAAGAGGGACCTGACAAACATTGCACTACAATGTGGACATGACCGTATCAAATGAAGGACACGTTGGCAACATGCCAATATGGTTGTTGCATTCAGAGAGGGGGAAAAAACGTTACACATAGCAATCAACCTTTTCCATTAAGCCACTCATTTGCTGATGTTTTAATCAACCCCACCTTGTTATAGTTTTTCACACCTATAACAATGATTTGGTCTCTGTCTACTGCAAAGATCTTAAACTTGGGAGTATTGTATCTGGAGACGGGATTGGTTGCAGAATCAGAAATGCCTGCTATTCTTGTGATGCCTATTAGGACGCCAATTATGTTTTCAAAACGGCTCAATGTGTGGATTGACACAAAAAAAACCCCACTTCTTGTAGAAGTACAAAAACAACAATCACGCATTATGGCTGTAATGTGATGAGAAATTGGCTCCTCAGCATGCGCTTCAAATGCTGATGTGCGTTTTGTTATTTTGTCTTCCAAAACCGCCATTTTCTGAGTCTATAACTGCAGACGTCTTGGAGAGGTTTAATTGGCTATATACATTAGCTGATTACAGTAGATGACAGTACAAGTAATTTTATTGAGAATCATCATAATGACTACAATAACTTTTATATTCATCTGTTTTCTTCTTTTTATTCATGCTACGTACTGTGTCCTGCAGTGCTTATTACGGCGCCTATAAATACAACAAATTGGTATTGTCCCCCATGTGATTACGGCCATAGATAATGACAAATGCAAGTTCCTTTTCCGAAGTTACTCTCAAAGCAGTGCACACAACACTAACCAGTCACCTTCGTGATGATACTAGTACTAACACAACACAATTTTCCCCCCCCATTTTTTTGAACCCCTGTGGCTTTAAATCTGTGTGGTCTACATACGAATTCTTACTGAGGAGCTTCAGGCTGTGAGTAGATATCTCATCGTCTCGTCTCATCTGTGGACCAATGAAATTGTTTGGGTCCGCCCTTATACAGTTTGGAGTACGGACGCGAGCCGTGAGAGATAAAATATGCAAGTGTTGTGTGTGCGTAGCGGTACGCGGCTGTGTAGGTGCGCATATAGAGGTCACAGTATGTCGTTGTGCGAAAATACTGTAATCATCTTGAGTTGAGTTTAATGAGCAGAGGGAACGAGTGCCATAAATGCAGCCATCTCGACAGTGCGACCCTCATCTCTCTGTTGTTTGTTTGGTCACCGATTCCCACCATCCCTGGCAACACGGACAGAAAGTCCGGCCATGCAGCAACATCCCCCTCACGGACTTATATAATAAGTCCGTGCATCCCATAAATCTCTCCAACTCGTCATAACTCATAAACAAACCGATTTCCAAAGGCTGCACTGCCTTGTGATGAAGCTCGTCGGTGAATTGGCCTCGTTTGACGAGAGAGACTGAAAGGCAAATATCCCATGTTACAATGTGGAGACCATCAAGTATTAACATGAAGCGGCTCATGTGTGTACAAATGTTACGGCTAAATTTAGCGGATTCAGCCTTTAATCGGGCGTGTTTTGTCATGTGGAAATTATGGTAATGTATCCTTTCTCATCGGTGCCAACGGCGTATAGTGACAAGCAGAATAATTACTGTAACTGGCAAAAAGCCCCAGATTTCACTCTTAAGAGTATTTCGAGTGGCGTGACTCACTCACTTAAAGGTAAAAGTACTACCTCCAGCGGTTGCTTTCAAATCAAAAACAAAACAATTATTAAGCTGCCATATACAGCGAGACACATTAAGAAAGGAACATTTTTGTGGACTGGCGGTTAGCACT